ATAGGAGGATCTCTTATCATCTTGAATCACTGCGGCTGTTTTTGGCTTGTTTGGAATGACAGTTTAGCCTTTCATAAACGATCACTTGTTCTCTCGATGTCTTACCATACTGTGGTGTGTTGCCTATGAGGTATCTACGGGTATAGAGGCAGAAAAGAACAGGGCGGCTGAAAAGATGACGAAATGGCTAGAAAGGTCAGCTTACCATGGATGGGTAGCAGTTTCCTAGCTCACTTTCATGGTCATCTTCAAACAGACAACTTTCTAAGAAACCTGTTCTTCATATAACCTCGATGTTATGACGTTAGTTGTGTTACCCTGATTTATGCACTGGGGGCGACTGTGTGGTTGAAGATATTAGTTATTTGTGAATCGGTATCATTTGTAACTTGATTTTCTGAATCCTTGTGTTCCTTTGGTTGCCGGGGAAATAGACTGCTGCGGATTCCTTGATGATTTTGTACTTTGTAAGTAACGTACCACACAGCCGCAAATCTAGACGCAAAGTAGACGATATAAAATGTACTTTTGGCAGTGTACCCTGAAAATGTTTTCCTTTCATATAAAGGGATTGAATAGTTGTGGAATGAACATTTTGATTTGAAAGTCCGTACATTAAGCATTGTCTGTTGATCATTTTATGGATACATTGGTTATTCAGGTGTAAAACAGGGACGTAAGTTTTACTTAATAGTCAAGACGTTTTTTCACAGATGCTGGTGGCATCTTCAGGAATGAATATTATGCCGTTGTCGGTAGCCAAATGGGTTTACTCTAAAACTGTCCTTTCTCTTCTTTTGGCTATCCTAGCCATGTATAAAAAATATGTTCGTCTGATCGATTATGGGCTAATAATCGAAAAAGTCGTCAGAACTTTTGAAGAGCAAGTAACTGTGAGGGAAAGCTATTTTTACGTGAATCAACAATGTTATAGCATGAAACGTTTCGAAGAAGGAATGTCAGATAAACTGAAATATTCATATCTCGTATTCCGCAGACTGTTTAATTTACTTTTCATTAATAAATTGCTTAAGAGTGTCTAGCTTGTGACGCTATTGCGCGAACAAAATGGACCACGATCTCATCGCTCCTTGTTGCACCCTTTGCTGTAGCACAGGAATGTTTGTTGTTTGTTTTGTCATCATCACCTGAGGTTAACTTAGCCTGAACAGCAGAATGCCCCCAGATTTATTGTTTGACCATCGGAAACTGTTTTTCATGTTGATAATAGATTAACTTTACTGCTATAACGAAGGTCACATTCCTCTCCGCAAGAAGGAGACGTTTTTACACGCATTTGAAAGGAGTGCATGGTTCTTAAGAGAAAAGGTTTGAATGTATTTCCATTCTCTTTTCGGATCTTTTACCAGATCAAGCCTCCATGGAATGCCACCTCATGCTGTCTTTGTTAAATACGGCTGGAACATGTTAGAGACACTAGCGTTTACATTTTTGCCTGTTGCCATTAACATTACCCCCACAGAAATTTCGGTTATCATCTGAAGTTAGTTTTCATATGTGTTATTGAGAATAACTGATACTCGCCGTTGCATCCGTTTCTATAGACGCCTATTGTATTTCTAGAAAGTTTTCCATCATTTGGATAAGATTTCAAAATTAAGTAATATTGATTTTCTTTTGTTCATAGTTTTGCCATATCTTTTTTTCGTTTTTCAGCTTAGTAACCTACTGTATCTAATCAAATTTTAGCAAAATCGATACAAACTTGTCAAGGGTTACAAAAATATACCCGTTGCCGCATATGTACGTCGTCAAAGATTTGGTCCCGGTAAATATCGTATTTATGCATGTTTAAAGTTAAATTTAATATGTGAATTATGCTAATTGAAAAAATAGGATTTGAACCTGTTTTACGAGCAGTATCGCGCGGTCGAGCCTTGGTTGCAACGTAAAACTCCACTAAAGCATGGTCAGAAACAGCTGTATCAGACCGAAGGAGAACGTTCTCGTGTGGTAGGTTTGTTGTCCTCCAGTCCTTGTTTCTAAAATGATAGTGTAGGACGGATTATATGAGTGCATTCTTTGCGCGTGTTGCTCTGCGTCTTGCCCTTCCTATTGGTGGAATTCCGACAAGTATCTTGGACCGGCTGCTTTACTGCAGTCTTACCGGTGGATCGTTGACTCCCGTGACGAGTTTCACGAAGAGCGGCTGAAGAAAGTTGGCGATGCATTTTCCGTTTTCCGCTGCCATACTATTCTGAACTGCACCAAAACATGTCCAAAGGTAAGATTCATAATATTATACTAAACGTACTTGAAGAAAAAACAAGGAAATAATCGTCGTTTAATATCTTCTCTTACGCAGGGTTTGAATCCCGCCAAAGCCATATCTGAAATCAAGAAGCTTTTGGTTGGTGTCAGTCATAAGGAAACGCCCATTCCAGAGCCAGCGGCACAGAAAGCTCACGCTTAGGGCAGACTACCTGGTATGTTGAATAGACTTATAATGGTACTTCATTTTGGCTTATCTCTGCTTTTGTATACAGTTTAAATTTGCATTTTACATTGGCATTTTACATTTTAAATTTTTGCTTACCGATAAAATATGGTCTAAAACTAAATTTTATAGACCGAATTAGAATTTAACATATATGCTTCCAAAAATGATCTGCAATGCAAAGGCTGCCGGATTTTAAAATTCTGATTTCCGTATGACAAGCAGAGTCTTACTAATGATGGATGTATGCATAGGTTTCTATCTCATAAAGAAGGTACTTCAGAATGATCAGATTCTGCTTCTATACTGTATTTTAATGCAGATGTTAACTATAGTTCTTGTTCGATGGAAACCATAAGATGGATATGCCTTATTAAATTTGTTTCGACGTATACCTTTGTCATAGTCACTAGAAACCCCTATTCGGAAGATTAAGCCCGGTGCGCATTTTCTTTGTTACGTTTGCTTATGAATTGAGAATCATACTTTGCGTTTGCTGTACTAGCATTCATTTACTATGTATAAGCGTTAGTCTAGAGTAATCCCATTTAGATTTTCCCGATTTGTAGGCTCTGAACTTTCGAGTTGTGCATTCCCATTTTTTGCCTTAGACATGATTGTTGCTCGTAAAGCACTGTTCAACGTTTATGCTTTGAAAGCCATCACTGCAGTGTAGTTGTGCCTCTATGATGTTCAAATTTTATGCAACTTGGACCTGCATGAATGCCTTCTAGCCTGTAAGAGCAAATCAGCTGTATCTGTTTGACGTATATCTGGTCTAATGACTTGTACGAGTCATTCTTTGTGACAGTACTGGAATTGACTGACTTCAGTTTTTTTTGGCCTAAAGTCCTATTTTAACAGGTTACAATTTGTTTGAGTTCTAACTTTTATTTTTTATCCCTGCAGACTGGAACCATTGATCTGGAGAAAAGACTTTCAGATTC